CATATACCTCACATTCATACATCATAGCGTGTGCATACCATATGCATTTAGTATATTACCACATCTGGTGAACATCATGCAGGCATCTGCATTTTACTAATTCTTTTTCTCACAGGTAAAACATCAAGTTTTAGTATAAATCAACAAGAGATTTGTGCTGATACTTCTTCCAGCGTTTACCAACATCCCTCTAAATGGCATCTATAAGCCTATTCACCATCCATCGTCGAGTGAAAATTTCTGGGCACTCTAGTGTTCAATCATCTTTCACCTTCAAGTCACGAATGGCGGATCTGCCAATCTAACTCTTCAAGTTCAAGAAGTTTGAACAGGGGCAGCTGTTGTACCCTAAAATTTGCCCTCTTATTTCACGAAGGATCACCCTGGACCCCAAGTTTGCTTCCATCTATTTCTAAGCCTTGAAGTTATCAATTCTCCAAGCAAGTCATTCACAAGGGAAAAATGGTCATTTGCACACTGAAAAGTCAAACTATGACTTTTGGATCAAAATCAAATTTCAAGAATCATATTTCATCAAGACATGTTGAAATATGAAGTTTGTTCATCAAGAAAATCAAAAGTCAATTTACTCTGGAAAAAAATCAAAATTCTAAAATACTTAGAATTTTTCTAAGTGTTTAAGAAACATGATAAGCTCAGAACTTCTGATCAGATTATCACCATAATGCAAGCTGATTCTGGAAGAGCTTCTGATTCAATAGTTATAGATTTCAATAAGATCTAAAACATTGCAGAACAGAACTTTTCCTGGAAATGCTGGGATTTCAAGTTATAACTCCTCAAAGACACGTCCTTGAAACTGAAACACTCAGCAAATTTTGGACACTTTCAAGACAGAGTTTGGTCAGAACTTCTAGGAAAGTTTTCACAAAGATTCAAGTCAGAGTTTGCAAGGGTAACTCAAAGAAGGTTAAGAAGTGTGCTGCAAGCTTCCTAGAAAGTCTGAGAGCTCCTTCAGAACATGCTGGAGCAAGGAGATACAAAGATCAGAGGTTGGATGTTACACTGAAGTTGAACTTCTGATCCAGAATTAAGCAATGATACAGAATTTCACATGGCAGGATTTCTGATTTAATAAATCTCATCATCATTTAATGCTCACAACCACTTTTGAGTATTTATCCAAGGGATTTCCCCCACATGTACCTCTATTGTCTTGGGAAAGCAAACTTTTGTGCAAAAGTGTGCTAGGTCCATGTGTTGCTTTTGCTTTTCCTTAATTACTGCTGACAAATCCAGCTTAAGCGCTGCTAAACCTGCTGACCATCCTACTTTGTGCCTTGAATCATGCTTGTTTAAGCTTACTTCAAGAGTAAGTCAGCGTCTAGCATATGACGTTGGTGCCACTTGACCTCTCCAAACTACTAAACCTTTGCCTATAAATTGAACTCCATTGGCCTTTGAAAAGAGGTGGAAAATTTGAGAAAGAAAAGTCTTGAACCCCTGCAAAAATTCCAAGAGTCCAAAAAAAACTATAAACACAAAAATACAAAACCTTTTAGCTTTTGATTCTTGCCTTCAAACTCCATTTTTTCCCAAGTGTTTCTTGACCAAAACCACCCATACAGTTTCTGACATACATTCAAAAGCCACCCTAACTTCTGTAGCCAAACTATAATATCCTTTCCATCAATATCCACCTCAAAAAAGTCAGAACTTTACCCCTTGGCTGTTCCAGAATTCTCTAATCATTTACAGCCCAAGTTGAAAGTTTCCAGCCTGCTGAACACGTAAGGAAGTTGTTCACAACATCACAAACGGTCAGAACCAGGTTCCAGCCCACAGAGTATTTTCCAGCTGCGAGGTAAGCTTCTGCTGACTCTCATCATATTACTTAGGCACTGTCAGATTTGCATGTTTTAAAACACAATATAGATATTCTGATTCTGATGATGTACATATTCTGAGATTTCATGCATCTGCCTGCCTAAATAGAGGGAATTCCAGTTCAGAGCTTCATGAAGAAATTAGGACTCAGAATTAGGATTAGCAAATTCATGTTTGCCTCTGATTTATATTTCTGATATCTCTTATTTCTGAAACATCATGAAACTTGTCATAACTGTTATATGCGCAACTTCTGTTCTGTTAAGAAATGACTAAGTTGCAGATGTTCTAACTAACATGGAGAAGAGAGACAAAGTTCTACCAGTTGCATCAGAACTTCTGAAAACTTTTGTGTTCTCAGCAGATCCAGAACTTCTGACTTTCCCTATTTCTATTAACGTTGTTTCTGTTTGTGCAGCATGTCAGAGTCAGAACTTCTGACCCCCTCCTTTAGTCAGCAATACGTTGATTCTATTTTTCTTTTTCTCATTATTTTTGCTATTACTTTCTATTTCACTAATAAAAAAAACACCAAAAACATTTTTTTTCATTTTTACATGCTTTATTTTATTTCTTAAAACAAAAGATCAAAAATATTTTCTTAAAATAAAACAAGTTCATTTTACATCTCTTGTACATTCTTATCCATTTCAATATGGTTGTAATAGTAACTTAGGATTTAATTTTATTTGTAATCCCCATTCATAAATATGTACCTCCATCCCTAAAATATTGTAATAGCGTAGGACTTTACATTTCTGCAATTTATCGCTTTCGAATGTAAATGCTAGTAATTAGGGTGTGTATGGCAAGATAAAATCAAGAAGTAGATAACCCTAATCAAAGATTAAATGCATGCAAATCAAACATACTATTCACACATGCACCCTTAAGGTTAACTCCACTTGTTGCCTAAAAAATGGTCATGTTATACATGTGGGGTGTCTTAACAAAAACAATCAAAATACAAGATCATAGTCCCTCGATGACGATATAAATATTTCCTTTCAAAATGATCTTAGTCCCTAAAAAAGAAATGCTAAGATACCTCACAATATTTCTATCATGACTATACGATGACCCACGCCCGTCCCGCTTACCTTCAAAGATAGGGTTGCTTACCAAATCAATGGTAAGACAATAATATTAAAAGAAAAGAAAATAAACAAGAAAGACATTTGAGTAGGTAGATTGCTCCTAATTACTTGTTCCATTTCAAAACAAACATCCTTGTTATTTTCAAAAATAATCACCTACACTTTCAAAAACACCTTTCAAACTTGAAAATATTTTCAAAAGATCAACACTTTGTATACATTCTTACGAACAAGAATCATTACAAAGTTTGCCTAAACGATGGCGCCTTTTCAAAATACTTAAAAAAAAAAAACAAAGTACAATTTCAAACAAAAGCAAGTGATCTAGCAAGTAACTAAGAGCCTATGGAAAACCATGGATGAAAAGGATGCTAATACCTTCCCTTTTCATATCTACCTCCCGAACTCAAGAAAACATTTCTAAAGGTCTTTCCTGTGCTTTTTTACCTTTCCTTTTGGATAAAAGAAAAGTCGGTGGTGACTCTTGCTAAACTGCAACATTTGAGAATACAAACGCAAAACACCCAAGTTAGTTCTCCCACCGTATCACAAACACCAATCCAAATTCTGACTGGCGTTCTTTTTTATCTGACAGTTGGACAACATGGTTAAATGGGGACTACCTCTCTTAGTTCAACCTCTTGCTCTTTGGACTTTACCCTTGGGTTGACTATAAGATAATAGGGACTGTCTCCACATATGGTCATTCAGAGTAAGCGTAAATAAAGAGTGACATTGGGAGATAGATGAGACAGTAGTAGACCATGTCCAACTATGACTTTTAGGTATCTAAGAATCCTTTTCATAACTACCCAGTGTGTCTCAAATGGATGTGTCATAAATTGACACACTTTAACTACATAAGTGATAGAAGACCTTGTAATAGTGGTATACTGCAGAGTTCCTACCACAGACCTATACATGTAGGGATCAGAGAGAGTTGGAGAGCCTGCAAGTGGATTGAATAGGAGTGGTCATTGAGCAAGACTCAAGCATGTTATTCTTTTGGAGTAGGTCCCTAAGATGCTTTTCTTTAGTTAGCTAAATAGGCCCATGAGTTACAAAAGATCATACACTTACTCGCTGGCTGCAGCCGGTTGGAAGACTCGAACCATCACCCGAATTTGAAACCCAAGAGCAGAAAATGAAACTTACAATGAATATAATTATAGTAGGTTTCGGTTGTGACAACTTATTGATTATGATAAAATAATCTTCATAGATTTTGATACTGTCGGGCTTCGAAATCTTGATATTCTCTTGAGCTTTCTTCAAATGACTACCCTCGATAATGATCAATCTATTTTAACTCCGGAATCATGGATATTGAGTCCTCCAATTGCACATTCAGGTAAATTTTACGTTACTTTGATAAACTTTTTAGACTAGTTATGTATATGAAAACAGTTTGACTTTATTTTATATTTTGGTCTAATATGCTCATGAGTCGACGCTACGATATCATTTTGTACGACAGAGATGATAAGATAAACGACATAAGATGACAATTGTTAAGAAATGTGGTTGAGTTTAACTTAATCCTACAAAATCAACCGACTTATATAGTGAAGATTGTCCCTACTTATAATTACACGTTAAAATCATATAAGACTTTTTTTTTTTTTAAATGGAAAATTAAGTAAAAACTCATTCAAGCACAGGACATGCTATTGAATGAGTACCAACAGTACACGAGGACAAGGCTTAACGGAGAGCAATCCACCCAACAACTAATACAGACAGCAATTTATCAATAAACTAAAACACCAAGCACAGCTATCATACAAAACTGACATCAAAACATTCCCCTAATACACATTGAACTAAAATGAAATCTCCAATAAGCAAAACACATCCTCCTCAAGCAACATCAAAACAAAGACACATTTTCACGAAATCACATATTGAACACCAACTACAATAACAGCCACCCTATACCAAAACAATAAGTGATGAAAGACTGTTAAAACACACACCCTCACGCCGTGGAAATAAATGGTGAGTAAGTTAAATTACAATGATTACTCCATAACCAAAACTATAAAACTTGGTTTTCTATGCCAAATTTCTCAACTTATTTGCTAACAGAGAAATGGTCTTTGTAGATGATCCATCTCCTTTAAGTGCAGAATTAGCAGCCTCTTTCAATTCATTGATCCTTTTGCGTAATTCCTCGCCTTCTTCCCCTTCCATGAGACACTTGATCAACTCAGAAATTTGCACCCTTTCCACAATGTCATTCTTATGAACTTTTGGCCTCAGTCCTACTTTCAGGCCCTCACTCAGCAAAACTGCATTCATTCTCTGTTCAGAAAACAGAGGCCATGTGATTAGTGGCACACCATGCATCACACTCTCAAGAATTGAATTCCAACCACAGTGACTAAAGAACCCTCCAACTGATATGTGACTAAGGATTTGAATCTGAGGTGCCCATGATGGAATAACCATTCCTTGCTCCTTGGTTCTCTCCAAAAACCCAGATGGTAAAAAAAGCCAAGGGTCGATAGCATTCTCTGCTGAAAGATATGCATCACTAGCTGAACTACTTGGTGCTCTGAAAACCCATAAGAATTTATGATTACTCAATTCCAAACCCAAAGACAGCTCTACAATTTGTTCCTGTGAAAGTGTACCACCACTCCCAAAAGAAACATACAAAACTGAACAAGGTTGTTGTTTATCTAACCATGTCAAACATTCCATGCCATTGCTATTATAATCAGATTCTGTTCTTGTTTGGATAATCGGTCCAACAGGATAGACCGCAGGGTTGCCACTTCCTTCTTCTGTCAATGCTTCTATAGGGCCTTTTTCAATTTCTAGGAAGCTATTAATAAGCATCCCATTAGCAGAGAAGAATTTGTTTAGACGTTGGAGTAAGAATCTGTAAGGTTGAGTTGATCTATCTTGAGCTTGGTCGACGAGATCCCGGCCATGGATTGGTACACAACCTGGTGCTTGAATAGCCTCTGGCAGATCTCTGTACTCACATGATGTTTCCTTATCCAATTTGAGCAAATGGAAGTAGTAACACAAAGTGGTGGCTGCAGGAGGCATGTAAACATAGGACAACATATTGAATTCCTTAGCCAAATCTAGTGCCTCAGCACATAAAGAATCAACCACCAGTGCCACAGGGGGGGGTCCTTAGAGTTAAGGAGTTCAAAGCCTGATGTAAAAATGGTAGAGAGAGTGTCACTGTGAGCTGGATTTTGCTTTCTAAGGTAGATTCTTGTGGCAGGTCCTTGGGATACACGGGTGGAAGAAAAGTGTAGTTGATGTTTGATGGAAGAGTTTGAAGGAATGAGTTTGAGGCAGTTGAGGGTGAGCCAAGTGTGGGAATGAAACATGTGATATGAAAATCTGGATGGAGTTGAACAAGTAGCTTGGAGAATTGAAGAATAGAGACTAAATGGCTATACCAAGGACCTGGAACAATGGCAATGTGAACTGTTTTCTCCATGAAAGTTTGTGGATAAGTTCACAGTGCGCAATGTATATGGTATCTTTTGTTTTGTGAGTTGTGAAAAGAGAAACAACAAATAAAGCTTGCCTATCTATGAACATGCTACAACAGCAAGTCAGCAACAGGCATTTTTATTTTGGTACTGGTTGCATTATGGTGCTTTTTAGTTGGCTTAGGTTTTGTTGGCTGTGTGCGGATGTCCAATATCTTATCTAGATGACTACTGCTTGTATGGAGGAGGGTGTGGCATATTTGATTCATTAGTATTTTGGTCTGTTGTAATCTACTCCCGCAATTTCGTTTAAATTAACACATTTTACATGAATTATTGATCCAATTCAATTAAATTGTTTATGTAATTGGAGTCAACTCAACCTTACAGGTCATGTTTCTCTAGAGAATGTGAGACTAAATCCACTTGTTCACGCCTAATATAAAGAAGTTATTGAAGGCCGCAATGAACGAAACTCAAATACTCGAGTCCCAAAGAGTCTGAAGCATGGCAATGTGTAATGTGATAGTTGTCTAATCTTTATAAACACTACGGGACTAAATCCATTCTTTCACACCCAATACAATGAAGGTAGTGGAGACTAAAATTAAGGCAGCAAAAATGCCTAATTGGCCACAATTAGGCTGCTAGGGGCAAACCACAAGTATACAAGACTTAACAAAAACAGACACAACAAGGGGTCTGATCAATTTAATATAGGGTTGAAGTTTCAGCATCAAGGGTTCACTAGATCTAGAACCTCTTTATTAGCTTCAAAAAGCTTAATCTTGTTAGATAAAATATTCTAACATGAACAAAAAATTGGAAGTCAGTCAGGCAAATGGTTATGTAGCACAGACCAAAATCAGAAGTCAGGCAGGCTGAAACATTTTTGTTTGATGTTGCTAATTCGCTATTATGGAAGCTCACTTCTTTTGCTCGAAGAAGTTGCTCGTGCCTGTTACGTGTATGATGATCTTCAAGGGATCAAAGATACTCTAGCAATTATCAGAAGTCTTTTGTTGGATGCGGAGGAGAAGAAAAACCAATGACCTGCTTTGCGTGAATGGCTAAGGCAGATTCAAATCATTTGCTCCGATGCTGATGATGTTTTGGACGAATTTGGTTTGCAGGTCAACCTAAAACAAGCTGTTGAAGATTCTGGCAGCACAAGGATCAAGGTACGCCGCTATGTTTCTTTCTCTAATAGGATGGCACATCAGATTAAAGATATTAGAGGCAGATTGAATAACTGCAGCTGATGGAGCCGGGTTTGCACTTGTGAAAATCGATGTTGAGCCCAGACTTGCTGTGCAAAGTAGAGAAATGACTCATTCATATGGTTGATATTTCAAGTGTAATTGGGAGGGAGAAAGATAAGGAAGCAATTATCCAGCTTTTAAAGCCACTTCATCCTCACACTGATGGTGATAAAAGCCTATGTGTTATTCCCATTGTTGGCATTGGAGGCTTGGGAAAGACTGCCCTTGCGAAATTCTTGTTCAATGATCAGAGGATCGATCAACTTTTCCAACTAAAGATGTGGGTGTGTGTCACTGATGATTTTGACCTCAGGAAGATTGTTATTAAAATCAGCAACTCAACTTCCGCTGCTTCTACAGCTTCTACTTTCGATTCCACTTCAAGTGTTGCTCACCAGGAGAATATAGACCATTTGATATTGAGCAGCTACAAAATCATCTGAGGCGTAAACTTTCAGGTAAAACATTTTTACTAGTGTTAATGACATATGGAATGATGATCGTGTGAAATGGATTTAGTTGAAAGATTTGTTAAAAGTCGGTACATCAGGAAGTAAAATCTTGGCGACAACACAGAGTGACTTAGTTGCTTCGATGATGGGTACAGTTCCGTCCTATGTTTTAAATGGTTATGTAGCACAGGGTAAAAAATCAATTTATCTTTCTAGATGAATATAAAGCAAGTAATGTAACTTTTAACACTAAAAAAATGGATATCAAAAGCAATTGACTAACACAAAAAGAGCTCAAATTGTTATTATTTGTCATGGCCTATGCAAAAATACAAATTAAAACCTCATCTGCATGACTTAAATTTGTCAGAACATTACACACTTAAAACCAAGGAAAAGTATCATTTGAATTTGGACCCAACAGACATAACAATAACATTGCCTTTAATATTTATCTTATAATTCCTTCAAGGAGAGGCTGCCATGAAATTCTTCTGTGCAGATCCACAACCAGTACCTTCATATCCTCTAAAAATTTGATATTATGGCAAACATTACAACAAAATGACCATTCTGAAACTTCTCTTGATGAATGAGCCGAATCATTCCTGGTTGATATATATATAACACCCCAGCACATTTCGAAAAAAATATAAACTCAAGAACATGGAAGCTGGATAACAAGCAACAATAATGGAGAAGTCAAAAACCCTGAAAATAATCTCTCATCCAACATTTAGGAACCAACTTTTTAGTATGAATGTAGCAAAAAGCTGAAACAAAGTGGCATAAATAGTAGACCTCAGAAGCCACTGCTGGATGGTGCATTTCCAGATCTAAGACCTGAAGTGGATCCATTGCTTGTTTTGCTGATAATCCCTTTTCCAAAATATTCAGCAATGACAGAAAACCCATCTTTGGAGTTCTTAACTTGCTGGAAAAACCTCTCCTGATCCTTAGAATTTTGCTCTAAATTTCTTTTCATTTCTAAGACAGACCTATATTCTGGGGCACACTCGGGGCATTCTTTTTCATTATCACCAAGGCACCGCAAATGGAATGAGTGCATGCACATGAAGTGCACAGCGGGAAGATCTAGGGTGAAAGTGCATGCCGTGCACTTGCTAAGCTGAAAAATCCTTGCATTTGTCCTAAGATCTTGAATCTCCTTCCTCATTGTCTGTGTGTCTTCCTGCACAGAGAATACTTTATAAAAATCCTTCCATGCTGTTGTTTACAGGGAAAATAGCAAATAACTAAGATAGTACGATTAGCACGGCCAACTTGCACTAGGCAAGGATATTTTGAAAGATGTATAAGGTTATTTGAGAAATACTTATTAACAACTTATTAATTAAAAGAGATTATCACTTCTAATAAGACTAATCTTGTGTTTACAAATTTATCATCCCTAAACAGTAATCTGCATCCTCAACCGGAACTAAAAGATATATGGGTGACAAATTCAGTTCACGCGAGTTATAAACATCTGGCTTGCTTTATGACATATATAGATGCAGACTATAACAGATCTTATAGCAGAACACATATATCTGCTTCACACTAAATGGCCAGAATCACCTAATGGACAAATAAGTGTTTTGCATTCCTTCACTCAACCATGACAAATTCCAATATCTCCATTTTCTGTTCAATATCCAAATTCCTGTTCATATTCAGTTACGAGGGAGGAAAATGATCCGGAAGTATCAGAAACAGTTTAGGGAAGAGAAAAATGTGAGATATGTGATGGGATCCATGTTGGGTGAGTTGCAAAAGACCAAACACTTACTGTGTATTTTTATAGTAAACTCTTAATCCTAATTAAATAAGGAAACAAATAAAAGAATATGAAAATCATCCCTAAGAGATCACCTATGATACCGTAAACTATTCTAAAATGCCACAATGGTATTAAGAAATATTTTTCATCTATTCTAGACCTAGTACTTTCTCTCGAGCTAAAGCTTACTAAAAGAAAATAAACTAAAAATATAACTTAGTCACAAAACAAGACAAGGATTAAAACCAGTGTCAGATTACATCTGAATTTCAAGACAAGGATTTTATAGACAACGACAGACTGCATCAGGAGTTAGAGATAGGGTAGATGGAAGACAGGCCAAACAACAATTTGGGAGGGCTAGACCTTTCTAAGATAGGAGATGGACTAGACTGCTTATCTAGGACGACCAAATTGAATCCGAGTTCGAAGATATGTTAAAATGTATATTTAGTCTTTTAGATATAGAGGGAATAGAAGAAATTTCAAAACAACACTGATAAATGTTGGAGGTACTAGCCATATGATTTTGGATCACTCATGTTAGTTACAGAATTCTAAAATGCGTCTAGTTCTTTTTTGGTTAATAATTTTTTCTACTGTTTCAATATCAGTGCTTTTAATGGAGCACCATTTCAATTTTCAAGTAACATTACTGCTGGATTTCTTCATAACTAAACCATAGTCTTATCGGCTATCGGTGTCTATTGTAGGGAAATCACCACATTTCTGTCAAAATTGTTCATAACTAAACCATAATCTAATCCACTATCTATGATTATTGTATGGAAATTATCATACTTTTGTCTATATTGCTCTCAATGTAACAATATCAGGAAACAAGAAAATGGCTATTTGTTATATGCACCGGAAGGACGGACAGACAAATACGTAAGCTATCAAATAAAGTTAAGATCAAACCACATGCTTAAGAAAACAAAGATCCAACCTGATATTTATCAATAGCTTGTCGGTCCTCTTCAATCATCTTTGATTCCTGCTCAAGCTTCCGAGCAATGTAATCCTTGATCACAGAAAGTGTGAGGCAAGGATTTTTTGACAGAGTTTGAAGAACAATTATGGGGGGCAAAATATCATCCCTCTCAATGTAATTCAAAACTTCTTTTACTTCTTTGGAGCAATCTTCTCCAAGCTCACCAAAATATTTAAGTACATCTTCCCAAAGAGATGGATCCCCTCCTTTAACTGAATCACCCAGTCTTTTGCAGCACGCAATTAATCCCTCATGATCATGCGCTTGCATATAGCAAGTGATTACTTCCTTATAGAGTTTCATCTTTTCATACAAATACAAAAGCCCATCTCTGAATGCATTCATTTCACACAGTATAATGGCTAAATCAACATCATAAAGTGGATGTTCTGTCTCTGGCGGCCATGCACTCTTAAGCATGCCTAGACCCTTTTTACGCCTTTCAAGACGACCCTTATCCTTTTCTGAACTTTTGTGATCAGCAATAGTTCCATTGGTTTGGACACTTAAATTTGAAAGTTTTTCTGATGCTCCATTAAGGAAATCTGAACCCTCGTTAGATTGTGATACAGAAGGAAAGTTCAATTCATTGGATATATACAACTCTAAGAGAGTATTGTTAATCTCCACCTGAGCAGGTGAGTCCTTCACCTTATTGGTATATTTTTCAAGAAAATCCATAAGGGAATGAGGGTAATGAACGAAGATGCTGAGAAAATCAACAGGAGATGGCAACATGGAAACATACACACCATTTGACTGTCCTCTTTTGTCACCCTCATCTGTGCAAAGCCTAATGAGAATCTTAATTGTCTCCAGTGGCTTGTGCTCTATTAGAATTTTACCATACTCCTTTATTGTCATCCCTGCTTGACTTGATTCAAGACTAGAAATATATTCCAAGGCCTCTTCATAATTACCAAGATCTTCGAGCAAGATCTTCAAGTACCATTCATGCCTCCCTGCTTTCTTTGCAACATACATTGCATGCTCATGGTAATTGGCAGCACGGCAAACCCTGATTGCTGTTTCCACGTCGAACTTAAGTTCCCCAATGCTATCTTCACTTTTAATAAATAGATTTAATTTTTCAACATCTTTCAATTTGGTGTAACAGTTTAATAGAAGTGTGGTGTGATCTTTAGAAGCAAGACCCTTCTCATGTAGCTTTTCCAAGTAATTTGTGAGGTTGTAGATTCTCTGAGCATCCAAAAACTTCTGTATCACATAAGAAGGTTCAAGGTGACCAATAGTATGTATGTACTGGGACATTGCCTCATCATAGTCTTGCTTGCTGTATAGGTGATCCCCATATTTTCTCAGAACTTCAGAAGTAGCTGCAGCATCTGCTTGTTGAGTCTGAACAAGATTAATTGCTACTGTATATAGGTTTTTCTTGAATAACATGTCTAACTTGCTTTCCATATCCTTTTCCCCAATAGATAAAGCTGATTTATCCTTCATTATGAGTATAATGTTACCCCACTCATAGAGCATATGAGAAACATCTTTAACCAGTGCACTGTGGGCTATTAAACGATTCTTCAGGTCATAGATATTGAAAGTGTGTTTTCCTGTTCTTTGATCTGCAATAACACACAAAAGGTATCCGCGGAACCATCCTACCAATTTCTTTTCTCCTTCAAAAGCCCAACAAGGACCACGCCCGTCAACTTCATAAAAGTATACTGCCTCAGGCCGACCAATTATAAACTCCTGTCCATGTCAACATACATAAACATTTAGCATTCATCAAGGATAGGCATACGATAACATATAAAAATATATTGAGAGACAGGAACAAAGGTTGCATACAGAACGGTCACTCATTGCAACGCTGTTTATTCCACATCCAATCTGATCAAGGGTTTGCCTCCTTGGTGGTTGATCATGCAATGAAAACAAGCTCACGGAATTTGGGGTTACGGCGAACAACTGAAGTGATTGACCATCAACCTTAAACCCAAGACCAGTGATTGAGGAAAGAGTTTTGTCTGAATGGTTTTCCACCTGAAGCTTGAAACGGGTGATACGCTCCCGTGCAATATCTCCTTTGATGCAGTAAATAGAACCATTGTCTAAGCCAATAGCTATGAGTAGTATAGGAGGCACTTCCTCTAAGACAATAAAAAATGTAATCTGCAGTACACCGTAGTTCCAAAATCATTAAAAAGAGGGGTAGAAATAATCAAATTATGTTACAAACCAGATTTACCATTATCACACAGATAGAATATCTCTAAAGATAAAGAGTAACAAGCAGGCATAGCAGTGTCATTACCGTTGCCTCGGGAAACTGATTAGTGAATATACGCAATATCCCAACACAATCCGGACTCGCCGTGCTCGTACTTTCAGATTGCATCTTATCTAAGTCAAAAACCTTCAGACACAGAGCTGATTGCTGGGCAGCAAGTTGTTCATCTTCCCCAATTGTTACCAGGAAGTTGCGTTGCTGGTTAATCAACAGACAAAAGCACACTGTTTTAAGTTCAAATCAAGATGCTGGAAGACATTAAAACTAGAAAAGTTCACCAATCCACCTTTTAAACCAAAACATAGGCACTCGTGTAGGTAATGAAGATTTCTAAATTGTATTGGTAAATTGTAAATATTTATGTTTAGATTCTATCACAATTGAAACATTAGAATCAAATAAATTACAAGTGGAAGAAAAAATGGTGAATATTGAGGAGTTGAAAAACAGAAAGAACCTTGAGCTGTTGAAGAAAGAGAACCGAAGAAGAATGAGGTTGAAACGCATAATTGAACTTGAGTCCTCGATCGAACAAGCAAACAGTGCCATCATCAAAACCAGTTACCACCTTACCCCTTCCACTCGAACAGCACGCAATTCTCCTCTCCTTTTTCTCTCTCTTACTGGTATCATCTTCTTCATGTTCCTCTGGAATCATGCATTTTGCAACGTACTTCTCTTCGAAGAATTCGAACTTCCGCCACTGATACATCGCGATTTGCAATCGATCGGAATCGAATTCTTCACGAAAATGGGGCTTCGATCATGTCATATCAGAGTTTGAGAAATTGAACGTTTTGCTGGACTTTCATGGAATTGTTAAATCGCTCTCAAACGGGTTCGGTTGTGTTTGGCATGAGAGAAACGCGTAAGAGAGAACTATGGAAGAGAAACACTCGATTTTCCTCTCTAATTTTGACGGAGAAACTTTGTTTCCACTTTTGCCCCTGAAATTAGATACACACAGTCTTTTAAAAAACCGAATTAGACCGGTTCAATTAATGAACCCAAATCAAACCATCTCGATTTTATTATGAGATATATTAACCTATTTAAAAATTTAATGAGTCTGACGAGTTGAGTTAATATATATGGATGTAATTAAAATATAAATTTGAATTTTTTTAGAAAATCTGCCTATAAATAATATCATATTTTAATTATAATTTATAATAAATTAAATGTATGATAATAATAAGGTTAAATTACTAAATAGAACAACAATTTTATTCTGGGCATAGGATACATCACATTGTTTATTACATCTCTCAAAAATTTAGTGAGATTATAACACTTATTGTTTTTAGAATTAAATATGTTTAAAAATCTTATAAAGTTAAATATTTTTTATTTTCCGTGTCTTTAAAATATTTTGTTAAAGAATCCTCTTTCTAAAATTAAGAATTTTAATTTTTGATTTCTCATATCAAAATTATGATTTAAATCGTTGCTAATTCAGTTGTTAAGCAGTAAATTATCACTAATTTAATTGTTAAAGTTGTAAAAATTATTATTAAACTGTATAAGAGATAAAATGTTAAAATTCCTTAATTTTATAGAGACAATTGTTTAATGAAATTTTTTAAAATGACAAAAAATGAAAATACCTAATTTCAAAGGAATTTTAAGTTTTTAATTAGGCAACAAATTAGAGGATTATATCAAAAGAGGCAATTTAGGAGACATTTTTGTTATCTTTAAAAGGAATTAAGGTGAGACATTACTATTAAAAGTTGGAGAATTTAACATGTCACTCCTTCACTTATACATGGTACCTCTCATTAGAGGCGTTTTTACTATAAAGTTTCTGTAAAGTATCGAAATTTTTGAAATTTACAGTTACGTATCGGAAATTTTCATAGAATATCAGAAATTTCGGTTAAATTACCACTTTTTACCGTGGCATATGTATTCAACCGGAAATTTCAAATTTCCGAGAACTGTCATTCTTGTATGTACCGAAAATTTTGAATTTCTGGTAGGTGCAAAAAATACGGAAATTTCAAATTTCCGATAGTCCTGAGAGTTGTTTTTTCCTTTTTTTTTAAACTTTTACTTGGATAATATATACAGTCAAACAGCTAATCGACTTAATATATAAATAGAATAAATGTTATACATATATGCATAAAAATAAAACTACAATCACTTCCTACACAAATCTTTTCGGTGCCTGAAGCGACCCACATATGCTGATTCTCATGCTTTTGCATCATTAGTACAATTTTGGCTCCAACGAGCAGTCAAATGCTTAATGTTGACTATACCTTTTTGAAACAACACTCTGATGGAACCTAGCTGCAACATCAACATGGTGTTCACAGCATCCCAATTTCGTCATAAATCACCATGAGATGTAGTCAACAAGTTTTTTAGTGTCCAATATGCAGACTCTACCCTAAAATCCATAAGTATAATAACATGTGTTCAAATTAATATCGAAACATAAACATGTATAATAATGATATTAAATTGTCACGATCCAAGTACATGTTTGTTATTGTGTTCCCTAAATGAGTGACTTTGTTAGTCTATACAACAACAAATATTTCTTTATATGGTGTTAACCATATTTCATTCACATACTTCACAAATGATGGAATATCACCACAAACACTTTCGAAGTGGTTGAAGTGTACATCAAACTCATCTTCTGTATTTAAATACATGATGTTGTTCCATTGATCCATGACATGTTCTTGTCTTTCTGATTTCACGTACTCTTTACATTTCATGCTCACGTTTTTTTAAATATGGAGTGTAAACAACATATGAGTTGTATTTGGAAACACATAATCCATGGCATTCATTAATGCAAGTTCCTGGTCTGTCACCATAACTTTAGATAGCTATTTCTCTAAATATGCAAAATAAATCAGAGTTATAAAATTTCAATCATACAAATGAATCGGGACGTCACAAATTCTTCTAACAAATTCATTGCATTCATCGTGGATATATAACACTTTTTCAAACATCGGATGAACCATCAACATAACATCTTTAATCAAATAAATCAACATCTACGCAGCATAATTCTTAATAACATCTCTAACAAAACAGCAACTTCGAAACATCTCATATTTAATGATAATCAATTTAAAATTCAACAACTGAAAATCAACAATCAAACGTTCATCCCCCCGAGTGTTACATATCAGAGCAATGACACCGACTCGAACTATTGAAGGAATACAACCTTCACTCTCGATTACCTGCACGTTACCAACATAGAGGCAACATTCAAACAGAAGGGGTGAGATATCTAACAATATAATAAAGTGCATGATAATTAATATATTAAATTAGATCAACAACATCATCACTTCTCATCTCAAAATCAACGATAATTTCAACGATAATATACATTCATCAACATCAAAATACACTTCTTTATAAAATCATATAATGCGACTCAATACTATGCAAATGCATGTGGTACCATTGGAGCAGAACTCTCATTTCAAAATTTTGCCAATTAATAGAGGCATCAACAAGGCATAGCCTTCATCTCAAAATTTGCCAATCCAGGCCATCTCAACGAGCATAAGCTCCATCTCAAAAATGCAATGTATGCGACACAACCATGAATGTAATAATAACACCCAAGTTAACAACATCTCCAATCATCTCAAAACATCTCAAATTATCATCTCAATTATCATCTCAAAACATCTCAAATTATCATCTCAAAACATCTCAAATTATCATCTCAAAAACAACATCTCAAAGACATCTCAAATTAACATCTCAAAAACAACATCTCAAAGACATCTCAAATTAACATCTCAAAAACATCTCAAATAATCAACATCTCAGATCATCAAAATAATTTATCAAACATCATTTATTTATTATAAATCATCCATACAATATTATTAATAACTTCTCATTAACAACTCAGCAGTATTTTAATTTCCACAGTAAAACAACACTGTCATTCTGTAATTCTAACGTCAAGACCGTCACTTTCCTACTGTTATAGCTCAAACAGCAGCTTCTAAGCATCTACATTCACCGTTATGTACAAAACAAATCTTAACGTCAAACGCAACTTCTGACCAGAATACTTCTAACAACACAGCTTCTAACCAACCCAACTTCTAATAATACAGCTTCTAATAACGCAACTTCTGGCCGACACAATCTTCTGACTAATGCAACTTCTGACTAACCCCGTCTTCTGACTAAGACAACTTTTGACTAGCCACATCTTCTGATTAATACAACTTCTGACTAACCACATCTTCTGATTAATACAACTTCTGACTAACCACATCTTCTGATTAATACAACTTTTGACTAACCACATCTTCTGATTAATAAAATTTCTGACTAGCCACATCTTCTAACCAATACAAGTTCTGGCTAGCCACATCTTCTGATTAATACAACTTCTACTACCAGAACCTCTATTCTTTAATAGTGCAATGCAACTTCTAACTAACATACGTATAACATCAGAACTTCTATCCTGCACTAATCTGACGCAACTCTTATCAACATACTTCTAATATCAGCACTGCTACTTTTTATTTCATCCTACTATTTTGATTCTATCCTGTTATCAACCTAATTAAGAACAGTACGCCTAACTCCATCCCTAATTGATTCATTGTTCTAGACAGTAACTACTGATATCCTCCACGTACGGTTCTGCAATTTTATTACTGCTATATTCAACGTTTTCTATTACTGCATCTCACTACGGTTCCATAACTAAAGCCCTAGAACTTAATATAATCATGTCAATTCATCACCCATAATTACCCTATGACTCTACAGCATTTAACAGCATCAAGACATCAATATTCATCAAAACTCATCAATTCTCATCATACGTCATTCATATATTCTCAATTCAAGAACAAGACAACAATCATCACTAATCCCATATACCGATCATCATAAACCCAATTATAGAGTTAGAACCCCACCCTTACCTTGGATTGAAGGTCGCTCTACAATTCCGGTTGAATTCTCGTGCTTTTCGTTCTCCACTTTCTCTAGCAGCTTGCACGTTCTTTCTCAATCCTTATTCTTCTATTGCTTCTTTCTTTCTATTATATTCCAACAACAATAAAATAACCCTATTATTCTATTATTCCTTATTGGACTTAAAACCAACACACTCCCTTTTTACTTCTATTCCTTCAAAATAAGCCCACATTAAATAATATTACACTTCTAATATTATTTCACCACATAATATTATATCTCTAATATTATTTCTCCACTTAATAAAATAATTAAATCCAATTAATTATAACACAACTTCACAAATATTCCAAAAATAATTTAATTAAATAATTAATTAAATTACGGGCGTTACAACTCTCCACCACTTAGAATATTTTCGTCCTCGAAAATTTACCTCAATCAAACAATTCAGGATAGGAGTCTCGCATCTTGCTCTCCAACTCCCAAGTCATGCTTTCACCAGCAGCTCCTAGCCAAACCACTTTAACCAAAGCAATCTCTTTGCCCTTAAGAGTCTTCATTTCAAGATCCGTGATCCGTACAGGCATCGTCTCCACCGTAAGATTATCCCTTACTTGCACATCGTCCATATGAATCACATGAGATAGATCTGGAATAAACTTCTGAAGTTGCGACACATGAAACACATCATACAAATTCGAAAGATTAGACGGTAAAGCCACTCTATAAGCAACATTCCTCACTCTCTCTAAAATCTGATACGGTCCAATA